CGTACTCACTTTCGGTCGGTATCCGTTTGAGAGCTACAAGGTCTGCTTCGTTGATGACATGGTTGAGGACACTATACCTCTGTGCGCCTTTTCGCTATGCAGCACTAGGCTACTCTACCCTGCGGATATTATTGATACCGAAGTGGAAACTACAAGGACGCTGGTGTACTCGCTAGCAAGCCAGTGGTTCGGCGTCAACATCGTTCCTAACACAAAAGGAGACATATGGCTCGTCGTTGGGATAGCATGGTTCTTAACTGACCATTTTATGAAGACATTGTGCGGTAACAATGAATACAGGTTTCGGATGAAGTCGATGTCGGATCGGCTTGTTGAGGTCGACATAAAACGTCCGTCTCTGCAAGACATCGGCGAACACCTTTACTTGGGCAGTTTCGAGGTGGATTTCATGAATCTTAAGGCACCTCTAGTACTGTTCATCCTAGATCGCCGTCTTTCCAAATCATCTAGCTCTACAGGAATCTCCAAAATCATATCTCGAATGGTCAGCAAAGCAAATACGTCCGGCCAGGCCCTCGACGAAATTTTAGAATCCAATGCATTCCGCAGAGCTTGCGAGAAGGCCGGAAACACGAGGCTGGAGCACTTCTGGAATCAATGGGTGCTCATGTCTGGATGCCCGAGGTTCGAAGTCTTCCAACGGTTTAACAAGAAACGATTATGTGTTGAGATGACAATTCGACAAACTCAAGATATAGCTTTTCTCAAGGCCAGGCCGCTCGACAAGAATGACTTCTGGAGGGATGTCATGGAAGAGAACCATGCCGTTTACGCAGCCGAATTGCAACAGTCTTTTACCGGGCCCATGACTATCAGAATTCATGAAGCAGATGGCACGCCTTACGAACACATAGTTGAAATTCGAGAGGATACTGCCAAATCTGTGAAGTTCGAGATACCCTACAACACAAAATACAAGAGGCTCAAGAGGAACCGTCGGCAGCGCGAAAGGGCATTGGCCAGCAGTACGAAAGGGAACGAGGATGGGCATAGGGATCTTTATTATTTAGGTGATGTTATGCAGCACCAGGATGAGATGGAAGAATGGGATTTCCGTGATTGGGACGAAGAAACTGAAGCGAAGATGGACCAAGAATCTTACGAATGGATACGAATGGATGCCGACTTTGAGTGGATCTGCGAGATGCAAACAAATCTCCCTGCTTACATGTACGCATCGCAACTGCAACAAGATAGAGATGTTGTTGCACAGCAAGACTCCATGCTATTTCTTCACAGGAGCTTTTCTAAGACAGGACCCCACCCTCTCGTCTCAACCATACTCGCTCGGACTGTATTGGATCCTCGATATTACTACGGGATACGCGTCATGGCGGCCGATGAGCTTCCTCGCCATGCGGTGAATGAGCATGTGAATTGGATAGGGCTTCGGCATTTGATGAAAATCTTCCAGCATTTCTTTTGTCAGCCGGGAACATATACCCCCTTGCCGAATGACTTCTCAAATAAGCGCCAATACCTAATTCAACGTACTATCCCCGAGGCTATATCCCGCGTCCGTGGCGAAGACGGCAGGTGTCCTAAAGATGCGCGCATGTTCATCCTCGAGCAACTTCAAGCCAATGACAATTCGACCAATATCTATTCCGATCAGCCATATATCTGCAGGTTAATCAAAGCCTTGGCTATTTGTCAAATTCCAGACGAGAAGAAAACTAAACAACAAAAGTCCATGTCATTCGCCTTCGAGGACGCCGACGGTGACGAGGTAATGGCCGATCCTATCGATTCAGAGCCAGAGGAATTCCGTAGGCTGGCAATGGAGGAGATCGAGCGATATCGTAGGATGGATGAGTACTCTCCTTCGTACCAGAACTGCTTCACCACGGCCGCACTCGATGCTCTCTGCCGTTTAATGAAAGCGGAGGTTATTAAAAAGGACCCCGTCGTATTTGTTCAATACCTACAGGACCAGACTTATGACCTTGTCCGTGTCAAGGCCTGCGAATCACTTATCGAACTAGGAATGCTGGAAAGCCCTAAGTTCCTGCAATTTTACCTGAATTTGACCAGTACCGATCCTTCACCATTCGTCCGAGACCGACTATTCAAAGCCCTCTGTCGTGGCTTTGCCAGTATCGCTATTGGAGAAAACGAACGGCCAGAGGAGCGAGCGCCAAATCAGCCAGCGGGAGATGACCTTATCGTTGAGCGTGACGATGAAACGATGGAGGCTAGAAAAAAGGCAAAGGCCCGCAAGGAAGATCTCTCAGTAGCGCTTGCGGCCCTGAAGAGGGAGACTACGGACAATGAGAACTTACAGAAAGCCATTTGGAATGCGATAGACTCGCCTATCTTGACTGTATCAGAGCGAATTAATCTTCTCGAGCTATGCTCGATACTAGTCGAGGATGAACCATCACTAACTTTGTCTTTCGATTATCCTACCTACTGGACCGTCGAGCGTGGCGAGAAAAGTAGGTCTAGATGCTTGGTGACATTCAAGCGGCATTTTAGGAGGAAACCACGCAAGGTATACGCTACACAACCGTTGCCACCCAAACCAGAACCCAAGCGAACCATCACTCTAAACCTCAACCGAAACATCAGCTCAGGTTCGAAAGCTGCAACGCCTTCGGCCGCCCAAGCTCCTCCGCTACCTGCACCAACTGCTCCCACTCTAAAACCTTTGGAAGCTGTTCCTGCACCCAAGTCTACTGCACTTCCTTCTTTAAAGCCCTCGCTTACGTCGAAGGAAAGAGAGCCTGTTCCTCCTGTGAAGCAGCCCGCTACCCAGGAATCGAAAGAAAAACCCATTCAAAAACAGGCAAAGCAGCCCACCGCCGTAGCCACATCCCAAAAAGCTTCTTCGTCGAGTTCTTCTCAGGAAAGGCCCAAAATAGGCGATTCTCACAAAGACAGCATTTCCGTCCAGGCCCCCGTACGACCTACGGTCGAACTTCCGCAACCCGAGCCAAGGCCAGCGCCTTCGAAGGTTAATGTAAGCAGTCATTTAGCCCCCCCGAAGCATTCGAAGCCCCTTAAACGGGCGAGCACCGAAGGCGATGGCCCTCGGCCGACTAAAATGGTCAAACTTGATACCTCTAAGATTCCCAGGGCGGAATTGGAGAAACTTGGAAAACGACGGAAGCCTAAGATGCTGGTCACAGTGAAGTTCAAGGCCTGGGACAGATTACGTAGACGCAAAGACAACGTACCTCAAGCTGGTTCAATCCGAGCTACGCTTAAGCATCGTAGACCAGAGGATAAACTAGGCGGCTTCAACCCACGTCAAGGCGCTCGTCCGGCCTCGCCTGCGGCTAGGGTTTCGGATTTTGCTCCTATGAAATCATCTTCGGCAGCACAATCCTCCTCTCAGAACCCCCCTGCTAGACCCAATTCTTCCTTCAAGGTACCGTCACATTCCTCTCAGTCAAGCGGAAACAACGGAAAGCCTAGAAAACCTCTTCCGGAAATGCGCAAGCCGCTCCCGTCAGCAGCGCCGGCCAACCCCGCGCCGCCGAAACAACCTCAACCATCCTCGTCCCCTCCGGCACCGAAAGGCCCTCCCAAGCTAAAGATCAAGCTGAAGCCGCCTACGTCGGGGTCACCAGGGACTTAATACGGTAATGAATGCATCGTCGTTTGTTTTGCTTGAGTATACGGAGCTACATGGTACCCGCTAAGCTTAGTGGGATTACCTGGCCCCCTTTTGTTCGCAAATATATTCACTTCTTTTTTGCAATGCATGGCATCGGCGTTAGGAACAAGAGGATATGACTCCGGCCAAAATGCGGTTGCCTTTTTTTTTTTTTTTTTTTTTCGTACGTGTACATTTCACTAGGAAACAATGAATAGGTGGACAGTGGTTAGTGAATGGACGGAGGGGCGGATGGATTTAACACCTCAAGACTTGCAATGAGTAGCTACTGTTGCTATCTGCAGGTCCTGGCATCGAGTCCTAGCAGAGGAGGAAGGAAGGAAAGCAATGGGCCAAGTGCGTACATTACTAGTTAAGCCTAGTAGGTGGCGTTGATTACGAAGTCTTTTTTTAATGCAGAGTACAGTGCTCTATTGCCTGTAGACGTGTAGCAGAACGTAACCGTGATTTGTCTATGTGATATACTACAGACCTAGCCCCAGGCTCGTAGATGGATAGTATTCCCCGATACGCTCGATATATCTTTTTCGGTTATTGTTTTGACATTAGCGAATATGGCTTCAGCCCCGACTGATTCAATTACTACTTTCTAGACATCCATCTATTATACGTAGCTTTTGTATCCCACATGTTGGGAACGCTAACAAGGTAGGCAATGATCTCCAATCTCTAATACAATCCAATCGCAGTTCTCAGATATATATCTCTTCCCCTTCCTCTCCTTCATTCGAGTCCGCTTTGCAGCACTACAATAATAGAGGTCAGCATGTTTCTTAAGGACACGGCAAAGGGAGTCTTAGGGGGAAAAACTAACCTCAGCCTTCGAGAAGCTCTAAGTTTGGGGCGAATTGGAATCGACATACTCCTGATCTTAGTAGCCCCTTCTTCGCCATCCTCGCTAGATATATCGTATTCACTCTGCTTTCTGTTTTCGCTAAAGCATTTGAGAGCTCACATAAACAAACAGATACCTGCCCATCTACCCTTTCACCCACCCCGTCCCACACGCAACAAGCAAGACACGCAAGCACCCCTTAAACCCACCGCTCCAGATATCATTTCCTAGTCTCCGCCTCTCCTGTAGGAAGTTCCATCTTTGTCACATTAAATCGCCTCTGCTATGCAATATGCAGCTACCTGGTTCGGCAGCGCTTGACTGACTAGCAGGGACGAAGTCGCTCTTGGGGCACAGAAGAGCCGTAGGCTATCTCGCGATGCGAGATGCTGGGGTTCTGTGCGTGCGAGCTTGTGACTAGATGGAACTTCTTCTGGGAGGGGCTTCGCTGTACTTTGATAGATGGGGAGATGGGTGGGATGGCTGGTTCTTGGTTTGCTGTGGGGAGAAGAGGGGAGTGAGGAGGGTAGATAGATAAGATGGCTGTTGTGGTTATGGTGAGCTCAGCATGTTGGATTTGGTGTTGAACGATGGTGAAAATGCTGGACTAGCGATACTTGCACGGGGGCTGCGAGAGTGTTTGTGTGTATCTTATATATATTGGAAGTCTTCACTGTGGAATAAATGTGAGTAACGCATTCGTTTAAAACAGGGTCCTAGGTATAGGATTGCCTCTAAACACAGGTCGACCACGTTTCGAGACTCGGGAACCATGAAAAAAGAAAGAAATAAATAAGAGATAAGGTAGACTTACTATTTCGCTCTTTCTAGCATAGCTAGCATATCAAATCAAGTGTGTCCTTAGTCATTGCCCCCATTCCCATATGATCCAGTTCCTTAATCCTTAAAAGGTAAGAAGCAACAGCCAGATTACGCCATGCCCACACCAGCAACGCAAAAATTAACGGATGATCGCAATGGCAGGGTCCTAACGCCGTCTCGACCCCGTCCCCGCCGTCGACCCCGCAATACCTATCCGCTCTTCTCTACTCCGCGTCATCATACGCGGTGCTTGTGACGGGGCCGCGGTAGTTGGCTCCGTGCTTCCCTGTCTGCTGGTCGCTGATCGAGCCGTCCCCGCCGTCCTTCCTGTCTGCCCTGTATTCCCGCTCGCGCCCGTGATCCGCTGCATTCGTGTCGAGGGGGCTGGTGCGGTTGGAGTGGTGTGTTGGCTCCGTGATGCTCGCATTTGCTGAAGGTATGCGGCGCGTGCCTGGCCGGGTGACTGCTCGCGCCTGCTGAATTGTTCGCGGGCGGCGCGGCGGGGCGCCATTACGAAGGGGTCGCTTGTATCGGCTTCGTCTGCGTCCGCGTCTACGTCTGCGTCTACGTCTGCGTCTACGTCCATGTCTTGCATATCTTCGTCGTCTTCGATTCGTGGCGGCGACGGAGTTACGGACGAGGAAGAAGTGTCCATTGCGGTAGGTTGCGGTTGTAATGGGTGAGAGGGAGCACGTGAGCTTGTCTGGTTTTGCGATTGGGCTTGCATGGCTGCGAAGCGGCGGTCTTCGTACGCGGCGACATCTTCGGCGGTGAGGGTAAGCGTTGTTGGTGGGCGACGGAGCATTGTGTGTTTGGTTTTTTGGTTATTTTCTTTTTGGTGAGGGTCTCGGTTGCTATAGTGTTGGCTTTGGTCTTTCGTTTTGCTCGTAGTGTTGCGCTGATCTGAGGGTTGTCGCTTAAAGAGAGGATAGCGATACCAATAAAAGAAGGCAGATATTTGATGTTTTTAATGAGTGATACGAAGTAATTGATTTAGAGATATTGATCCAATTGTTAGTGAAGAATGCTTAGCAATGTAGATACAGGATAGACTGCGAGCGCTGAATATTGCAATGTGTTTTGTTGTTGTTGTTGAGGTTAAAGGTAAACATAAATTTAATTTCCATAGCGACAACCTTGAAATTCACTACTGGCAGTTGCGGGGTCCAACTTTGGCGGTGATGTTGTACGTACCTAGGTACCTTTTGGTGGGACATCCCGCACCTACGCGCTTACGCGCCTATTTTTCAGCCCTATTAGTGGGACAGGTACTTAGAAACTACATACATCAAGTTTTGGGGTCCTTTTGTAACGAAGTATGATGATATAACTGGGCAACATGAACTTGCATTGTACATGCACGTTAGGTACCTGATACCTTATAGAAAACGTTTTAGTAAAGTATTGTATTGTATTTTATAAGGCAATTTTACAGCTTCTTCCAGCCCGGATCTCTCTACATCGTTGTTATATATTACTTTTGTATAGTGCTTAATAAGGTAGCCAATATTTACATAAATAGGTATGTTCCCAAAAATCATCCTATGATTCTACATATATGTTGATTGATTTAATCTGGTGTCAATTTTTAAAACATCTAGTTTAGAAGCATGGCATTATTAAATTGTTTCCCTGGCGAAACTTTAGCTAATATTTAGATCTTTTTTATGAAAGTATATCTGACCAAGTTCACGATCTAATTCTAAAATATCTCCCCTAGAGTATAATGCTAACAATACGGGAGGGTGTCTCTAACATAAGGATCTAAACATGTTGCATGATCTCTAGTTTGCATATGCCTTTTTCGGCAAGATCTTCGTTGAAGAATGACAAGGCAGGTTGCGTATTCCGGAGATGTTGGCCCAGTCCTTCGGGTCGGGTACTTTGCCTCGCTAGTCCGGGAAGTCCGGGGGAGAGGGAAATACCTAGCCACAGCTCACGGAAGGATCCAATAGTAGTATCACGTTGATAGTCGTATTTGAAGGAGTACTTGAAGATATGGGGAATACTAGGGTAAAGAATTACACGCTGATACTACCACCACGGATTCAGCGGATAAGGAGCCGGATTGCAACCGCAAGCCCTGGAATATAGCTGATTAATGGTTAACCCAAGGATATGGTTGCCGGAATTCGTCATCATTCAGGGTGCCATCGTACCATATCATCCATATAAGTTAGCCGACTAACGCATTATGGCAATATAAATCTTCTAAGTTAAGATCGAGATACATACATAGCCCATTAACAAAGCTATTGCCGGAAGTCAAGGGCTCGCTTCCGGTGAGCCGTATGTGTGCACATAACGGAAGTCGTGGGATGTACATAGAGTCCAGGGGTCCGTCCTGAAACATTCTACCAGCTATTACGATGATGCCTACAGCTTTTGCTATCACTGTAGTATAACTCCTTATAGAACCGCTATGGCTAACGACTTAGCTACGCCTAAGTATTCTATGAAGTGCTCAAGTTTAAGATCGTGATATTTAACCTCTTCATTATATGGAAACAAAGCCTATCGTCTTAACCATAAGACGGGATCGTGTATACAGGACCAATTTAAATGAGTTGATAGGCAAATACAATTTTATGATCTTTCCATGGGCAATCTCTCATTCTTCTTTTAATATGAGCATTTAGACTCTCTTCGCATATGAGACTGAGAAGCTAGACTAATACCAATCCCAGACCACTACTCTAGGAGACCGTGGTTTAAAATTTGGGCATACATCCAACTTAAAGAATCATAGGAAACTTACTAGTTATATCGTATCGTATCTTTACGATTTAAACTATTTAAATTGTGTTCGTAGAAAAAAGAAAACTTCATGTTCAACCAGATCAATAATACCTGGTACCTGAAAGTAGCACCAAGACAATCGACTAACAGTTAGGTTCAATGCAATTAAGCGATATACGAAGGTTGGGGCCAAAAGTTTCGCACATGTCTAAATCTTGGCACCGTATTTTATACGTTTTTCGACTTATTGGTACTGTATTAGCCATACGCTAAGCTAAAGGTCGGATAGTAGCTTGTTTACTAAGTTTAGGTGGCTTACCACTATATTTATAGCAATATTAGCCACTATAGCTTAAATAAGACCGTACAATCTCTTTTTATTCGCACGTGGCTTTGCCAAGCTTAGATGTGCGAAACTTTTGGCCCCAACCTTCGTACATAACTCAATTAAGCCCACTAAAATTTTCCTGTCTTTCAACTTTGCGCCGAATGCAACTTTCGGTGCAACTCTCGTAAACCATCATTAATACAAAAACACAACATGCACCCTTAAGATAAATTTTAGGAAGGGCATATATACAACAAGCCCATAACATACCCGTCCGACCGACAGTCAATCCTACCATTCTTATAATGGACGCGCACGCCCTGCTAACCGCCCAAGGGTGGCGGGGCAAAGGACACACGCTGCACCCGACGAGCGACAGCACGGGATTGACGCACCATTTGCTGATGAGGCGCAACGACGACGGTAGCGGGCTCGGAAGCAAGAAAGGCGATCACAAGGCCGAGGCATGGTGGCTGAATGCCTTCGACCAGGCTCTCAAGGGTATAGACACCAAGACCGGCACCATGAAGCAGACCCTAAAAGGCGGCGCGCTCGAAAAGATCACCTCCCGCGGCGCAGCTAGCAAATACACAGGCACAAGAGGCCTATACTCTTCGTTTGTGCGCGGCGGAGTCATAGAAGGGACCGTGGGCCAAAACCTGGTGACGGGGCTTCCGACGCCCCCAGATAGCGGTGTTGGCACGCCAGAGGCTTGTGCCAGTGTAAATGGAAAAGAGACGAAAGAAGAGAGGAGGGCTAGAAGAGAAGCTAAAAGGCTACGGAAAGCAGAGAAGCAGGCGAGAAAAGAGGCAGAGGAACGAGCTACGAGGAAAGCCGAGAAGAAAAAGGCGAAGAAGGCGGAGCGGGAACAGATAAAGGTCGGAGAGACGAAGGAAGAGCGTCGCGCGAGGAGAGAGGCGAGGAGGAAGCGGAAAGAAGAAAAGAGACGGCTTAAAGCGGCGTCTGGGGGATGAGCAAGGGATGCCGAGGGAAGAAAGCGATTTACTCATTGAAGTTCTCATACCCGGAGCTTCTCTCCTCAGATTCATGATGGTCGAGATGCGATATACTACCTCTGTGGTGCGTTCTGCGGTGCACCCGTGGACCTACGCCGAGGGGTTCATTAAGTTAGCGTCCTTTCAGGACAGGGTTAATCACCAGAGATAGACAGCCGGCTTACTGTTGTAGCTCATGCTCCTCTTGAGCAGGTTGCTGTTGCTGTCTCCGTTGCGCGTCTCCGCAATATTCCCATAATGCAGCATTTATAGCCGCGATAACGACGAGGAGGAAAATTACAACTAGGATTACCCCGATGATATCCTTGACCTCCCAAGTATATACTATGACCTCTTGTCTAGGTACTCGTAGATTGCTTCCCATTGTGCTTTGAATTATGTTTGATTTGATACATCTCTAAAGCGCATGCACGTGTACACAACTTGATTGGAGTAAGGGGGCGTTCCAAGTTGGTTCGAATAGAATTTATTATGTTTCCTTGGGGATCTTGCCTGGCTTATTTGACAGTATCCAAGGCCGTCTCTCCCAGAAGTCATCCTTTATAATGTCTACATGGTCGACCAGCACTTTCGCCTTCGCCCGTCGCTTTTTGTCTTTGTCATCCTGCGTTTTGGACTGTCGTACAGCTTCTGCCAACTCATCGGCGGTCTTAGCTACGTCGTGGTTGCCAGGCTCGACGAGTTCGTACTGTATACGTTAACACTGCGGCCGAACTATATGGAGTACCTAGTGAACATAACTGACATCTCGATATATGACGCTCCCTTTCTTGAAAATCTCAGGCTCGTTGTTATAGTTGATTTTGAACCTCGAGAAAAGAAGCTCATGCTTATCAGCTGCGAGAGTACCCTGTATGCCGGTTAGGCTAGCTTGGTCGTGGGAATAAGGCAACTCACAGATAATAGCTGCTCGGCAGCCTTGGCGTCCATCCCGGGGGGTAGTTGGACGAGCGACCAGAACGTAGTGTTATACAAATTGTTGATGTGGCCTATTGTTTCATCAGCGTCTTTGATTTGGCCGGATACCGAAAGAATCCTCACAGTCTACTTGGCGCCAGCTCATATAGTCTCGTAGGTTCTGTACGCTGGGGTAGCAAACAGCCCGGCCATCAAAGCTAGGAAGCGGTGGCGATAATGGCGTATCTGGAAAGTAGGTTGACCATAGGTGGATGTAGTATGCAGTAAATGTCGAGACTATCGTCGAAACGATTTTGCTACACACTTTGAGTAAGACGTACTTAGACGATGTGGCTCTTGAGTAGCTTACCTCGCCCTCCTTTCGAATAGAGTACATGTCTTATGGAAGACAAAGCTGGTGAAACTTAGTATCGGCCGTTTATCTTCCTACGGACAGCAGATAATACCTGAACTCATCGCTAACACCATAGGCGATACTGATGTCGTGGATTTCAGTTACGACGGCTTTAGCAGCAGCGTTCATCAAGTCAAGAGCTCTACGGTCATTGGGTTTCTCGAAATTATATTTGGCACATAATCTATCTCAGAAATACACATCAGAATAGGATCGAGACAGGAATGTTCATAGTTGGGAGTATTACTTTGTGAATCCTCTACCGTCTATTCTAACCACAATCCAGGTATTCGGCAGTAGATGGTCGACTTGCTCAAATTGTTTGACATATTCAAATCTGAGGTTAGGGTTAGATTCTATAATATCAACATATTGGACTAAAGGGAATAACTTGCCTCGAGTTAGCCATTTTGTTGGCTTTATCATAGGAAATATACTATAAATAGATGCATGTAGAGTAGATACCTATTTCATGTTTAGATGCAACCTTGGAAGATTGTATATAAAAGTACTCTGATACTTATAGATTATTACTGCTGAGTCATTGATGCCCACTGCCAGGATTGTCGCAGAGTGGGGAACCAGTGGGGACATCTGAGAAGTACCTGTCAAGATCCCTGCAGGCTATCTGCACGTACTGCAAGGCTACGAAGGTACCTACCTGCCTCTGCCACATGCTTGATGGAAGCTGAATTTGAAAAATATCGGATACAACTACAACTTTAAATTGCAATACCTATTCGATAATTATTCGACAGTTGTATATACATGTCTCGACACCCAATCAGCACGTTGCAGACGAATTAATACCATTTCCCGAGCCGCAAGACATGAACGCGCCGACATGAATCTGCTGCTTTCCGACGACTACCTGCTCCAGGACTATCCCGAGAATATCACAAATACGATCCGGTCCGGTCATACGACATGTCTCCGCTTCAATCGCAGAGGCGACTACTTGGCATCAGGTCGCGTCGATGGCACAGTAGTAGTTTGGGACCTCGAAACGATGGGCGTGGCGCGAAAGTTAAGAGGTCATAGAGCGGCAATAACTTCACTTAGCTGGTCCAGATGTGGTCGTTATTTGCTATCTGCTTGTCAAGGCTGGAGGGCCGTTTTATGGGATCTTCAAGATGGTACGAGGTATCGAGAAGTGCGCTTTCGTGCCCCCATCTATACGGCAGATTTACATCCTTGGAATCAGTAAGCATTGCCCATATTCACGATTTAATAACTAGAAGCGCTGACCACAGCGCCCATTATAGTAACCTATTCGTTGCGTCCGTATTCGACGAGGCCCCGTCTATTGTTGACATGAGTGGCCCGAGCGATGTCAAACATACCCTTCCCTCTGCGCCGAAACGAGCCAATGCCGATGTCGATGCAGCGACGAAGGAGAAACATGCCAAAGAAGACGCAAAACAGATGACAACTGTCACCGTGTGGACGGCTACAGGTGATCATGTCCTAGCAGGTACAAATAAAGGTCGCCTCAACATCATAGACGCGACTAGCCACGAAATCATATGGTCAGAGAAGATATGCAGTTCGGTAGTGACTACATTACGGCTGACAGGGTCTGGTCGTGAATTATTGGTCAATTCACAGGATCGGATCATCAGAACCTTCCACGTACCAAACCTATCAGCAGAGGATCTCGACCCCGATACGATACAGGTGCCATTAGAACACAAGTTTCAGGATGTTGTTAACAGACTTTCTTGGAACCATGTCACATTCAGCGCCACCGGAGAATACGTGGCAGCTTCTACATATAATAATCACGAATTGTATATATGGGAGCGAAATCATGGTAGTTTGGTACGAATGCTGGAGGGGCCCAAGGAGGAGCAAGGGGTTATCGAGTGGCACCCGCACCGAGCTGTACTAGCCGCCTGCGGACTCGAAACCGGTCGCATCTACATATGGTCGGTGACTACGCCACAGCGCTGGTCAGCACTGGCACCGGACTTCGTTGAGGTTGAGGAGAATGTAGAGTATATAGAGAGGGAGGATGAGTTCGATATCCACCCCCAGGAGGAGATTAACAAGCGTAGGCTGGACAGGGAAGACGAGGATATCGACGTATTAACATCGGACCTAAGCAAGGGGTATCACGAGGAGGTCGACGGCGCAGAGTTCCGGATGCCTGTACTATTTAATCTTGGCGAGAGTGACAGCGAGGAGGAGTTCGTTGCAGTGTCGACGGGTACGGTTCGGCGAAGAAGCTTGGGCGAAGGCCATGAGGGCGAAGCTCCGGTCGAAGAAAAGGTAGCCGGAGGCAAGAAAACAGCCGCGAAGGGTACAAGAGGTAGGAAGAAGTAAGATAATAGTACCTTCTAGTGGCTTCCTAATGAGACGAATCCCCTAGCAGCAACAAACTGCCCAGTAAAAGCAATTATCTAAGCACTGTTACACTGTGTGTTTGTAGAATTAGTCGTATCATGGTATGTGCGTGAGTTAGTGCGTGAGTTAGTGAATTAATGTTGCGCGGCAGATACCTGTTGCCCGTTTGCTGGGTACCTAAGTACTTCCCTAACGTACCTGTCTATATTGACCATTTGTGGAATGCAAATACTCTCTGGTCGTTGTTGTTTGACTCATCGGGCAGCTGCAATTTTTTCGCCAAGGTCGCACGACCAAACCTTAAATTGAATTCTTGAATACATCCTACAGGTAAGAGGTACCTACATGCATTGATCGACCTGAATATTTTAAAGTTTGGGTTGCCTGTAACTTTGAAGCTACACCAAGCCTCTGGCGTTAATTTACATCAAGCTTTGTGTGGGGGGAACCCTAGGTACATACTTGTTTCGCATCGCATCTTTTAGGGGACTTTTAGGTAGGTACATATGTACCTAAGGTACCTACCTTGCCGATTGAGGTCTCGATCAGCCGCAAGGAGAAATTTGCTTCCGAAGACCCATTGTTCCATATTTGGCTTAGCGTAGAATCGTGGCGGCTTCTGCCTCACTATTCCTTAGTCCTCTCAACTCCTTCCAAGAAAGGCTTCTCACAACCATAACAACAATCTTACGATTGACGAAACATCACGACGCGCTCCGGATACCGAATCAGTCCCCTCCCTGCGACTGACCGAAACTAACTATCGCGTCTGCATAGTGATTTTTCCATTATCGCGATTATTTTTCGACCTGCGCGCGCGCTGGAACGGTACTAATCGTGTTCCTCGGGCCTCTGGCCTGGTTGGAAACGGCCCTCCAGCGCCATTCTTTCTTGTATCAACGACCACGCCTATTGTGCCTTTCGCTGCCGGTTGTAAATAATTCAGCTGCCTGGCCGGCATTATTTCCCCTTCTACGAGTCACGATCCGACGGAATAATTCAACTCACTACCTTTTTTTTTCCACCATACTCTCATTTCGACCTAGGCCTTTGCACACACCGCGCATTACCTGAAACCACTCTTTCAACGCGATCATAAAAATTTTCCATCAAATTACGAACTCAACTACTAATATTTATCAACCAACGAATCTATCAAGATGGCGAACCTTCATTTCGCGCACTCCGATGCGCCTCTCAAGGACATCAAAGAGATTCAATTCAGTCTTCTCTCGCCCGAGGAGATCAAGGGTGCGAGCGTTGCGGCAATCACTTACCCCGAGACTATGGACGAAACCCGGACGAAGCCTCGTATGAATGGTCTAAATGACCCCCGCCTGGGCTCGGTAGACCGCCAGTTCAAGTGTGCCACTTGTTTAGAGCCTATGGCCGAATGCAATGGCCATTTCGGTCACATTGAGTTGGCAACGGCTGTCTATCACCCGGGTTACATCAAGAAAGTCAAGAAGATACTAGAGATCGTCTGCCCGTACTGTAGCAAGGTTCTGGACGACAGAGTCAGTATCTTCTTACTTCCTGGCTAACCTGAATCTTGTTGATGCTGACCCTACCTAGAGCAATCCAGAATTCCAGGCTGCAGTGAATATTCGAGACCCGAAAAAGCGTTTCCAGGCTGTCTGGATCGTTTGCAAGGGTAAGAGAGTTTGTAGTAATGAGACTCCAAAGGACGAGGACAAGGAATACGAACCAGGTAGCAAACCAAAGACGGAAGGCCATGGCGGTTGCGGCAGCCTCCAGCCTGCAATCCGTCAAACAGCTCTCCAACTATGGTCCCACCAAAAGACGGTGAACGAGGATGGTGTTAAGGCCAACGAGAAGAAGGAGCTCAAAGCTACCGAGGTTCTCAACATCCTAAAGCGTATCACTGATGATGACTGCCGGGATATGGGCTTGAATACGGAGTATGCTCGACCCGAGAACATGATTCTTACGGTGTTACCTGTCCCACCGCCTCCAGTTCGTCCCAGTATTTCTATGGATGGTACCGGCCAAGGCCTAAGAAACGAGGACGACTTGACCTACAAATTAGGTGATATTATCCGTGCCAACAGCAACGTCCGCCAAGCAATTCAGACAGCTGCACCTGCTCATATCCTTGAAGAATTCCAACAACTCCTCCAGTACCATGTTGCCACCATGATGGATAACGACATAGCCGGCCAGCCTCAGGCACTCCAGAAGAGCGGTCGTCCGGTCAAGTCTATTCGAGCACGTCTAAAGGGAAAAGAAGGCCGACTGCGTGGTAACTTGATGGGTAAGCGTGTCGATTTTTCAGCCCGTACTGTCATCACTGGTGACGCAAATATCTCGCTCGACGAAGTTGGTGTTCCCAAGAGTATTGCACGAACATTGACATACCCCGAGACCGTCACGCCGTACAATATTTCTCGCCTCCACAAGCTTGTCCAAAACGGACCCAACGAACACCCCGGCGCCAAGTATGTTGTCCGAACAGATGGATCCAGAATCGATCTGCGACATCACAAACGTGCTGGTCAAATCAATCTCGAGTATGGTTGGAAAGTCGAACGACATCTTCAGGATGGTGATTACATCATCTTCAATCGTCAGCCGTCCCTTCACAAGGAGTCCATGATGGGTCACAGAGTCAAGGTCATGCCTTATTCCACCTTCCGACTGAATCTATCTGTCACCTCACCTTATAACGCCGATTTCGATGGCGATGAGATGAATCTTCACGTACCGCAGACTGAGGAAACGCGGGCTGAGATTCGCGAGCTTTGCATGGTGCCTCTGAACATTGTTTCACCCCAACGTAACGGCCCGTTGATGGGTATTGTCCAGGATACTCTGGCTGGTGTGTACAAGATGTGTCGTCGGGATGTATTCATGACGAAGGAGCAGGTCTACAATATCATGTTGTGGGTGCCTGATTGGGATGGCGTTATCCCCCAGCCTGCCATTCTCAGGCCGAGACCTCGCTGGACAGGAAAACAGATTGTCAGCATGATCATCCCGAAGGAGATCAGTATCTATACCAAACCTCAAAGCGGCCCGTGGCTCCCATTAGTAGATGACGGGCTCCTTGTCCAGTCTGGACAGCTACTTTTCGGCCTGCTTACAAAGAAGAATGTCGGTGCCTCTAGTGGAGGTATTATTCATCTTTGTTACAATGAGCTCGGTCCTGAAGGCGCGATGGCATTTCTTAACGGGTGCCAACGCGTTGTGAATTACTGGCTCTTGCATAATGGTCATAGCATTGGTATTGGTGATACAATTCCAGACAAGGCAACAATTGAGAAGATTCAGGCTCACATCAACGAACAGAAAGAAGAAGTAGCCCGGTTGACTGCACAGGCAACAGCAAATGAGCTAGAAGCTCTCCCTGGTATGAACGTTCGAGAAACCTTCGAAAGCAAGGTTTCTAAGGCTCTCAACTCCGCCCGTGACAAGGCGGGTACCACCACTGAGAACAGTCTCAAGGACAACAACAACGCTGTAGTTATGGCTCGTTCTGGTTCGAAGGGTTCGTCCATCAATATCTCTCAGATGACTGCTCTTGTCGGCCAGCAAATCGTCGAAGGCAAGCGTATTCCCTTCGGCTTTAAATATCGAACTTTGCCGCATTTCACCAAGGATGACTACTCGCCGGAAGCCCGTGGATTTGTCGAAAATTCGTATCTTCGTGGTCTAACTCCTTCGGAGTTCTTCTTCCACGCCATGGCAGGTCGTGAAGGTCTCATTGATACTGCCGTCAAGACGGCCGAAACTGGTTACATTCAGCGTCGTCTTGTCAAAGCCCTCGAGGATGTTTCTGCTCGATACGATGGTACAGTTCGCAATTCGCTTGGCGATATCATTCAGTTCATCTATGGTGAGGATGGTCTCGATGCTATGCACATCGAGAAGCAGCCCATGGATCACTGGGTTATAAGAGATGCCGATTTCGAGGACCGGTACCGCATCGACGTGATGGAGGGTCTTCGCCCGCGTGTGCTCGATGCTCTGGAATATGGGCAAGACCTCATTGGTGATGCACATGTCCAGGAACTTTTAGATATGGAATGGGAAGCCATTTGCAAAGATCGCGAGTACCTTCGAGATCTGAAGAAGGATTCCGAGAAGCTCGAGGAAATGTTCCAACTTCCCCTCAACACAGGTCGTATTATCGAGTCGTCCAAGAAGCTACTTAAAGTTGATGATGCGAGACGAAGCAACCTCTCGCCTCAAGACGTCATCCCCGTAGTGAAAGATCTATTAGAGCGAATGGTCGTGGTTCGCGGCTCTGATGACGTGTCTAGAGAAGCTGACGATAACTCAACAAAGCTCTTCAAGGCCTTGCTGCGTTCGCGATTGGCATTCAAGCGTCTTGCGGTGCACCACCGCCTGGACAAGCTGGCTTTCCGCCACGTTATTGGCGAGTTAGAAAACCGATGGTCTAGAGCAATGGTAAACCCTGGCGAGATGGTTGGTGTGTTGGCTGCGCAGTCAATTGGTGAGCCTGCAACACAGATGACTTTGAACACTTTCCATTTCACGGGTATCTCCTCGAAGAACGTCACTCTCGGTGTGCCTCGTCTGAAGGAAATTCTCAACGTTGCCAGCAATATCAAGACACCTTCAATGATGGTTTACTTGGACGGTAACACCTCCCAGGACCATGCAAAGAAGCTTCGAAGTGCGGTTGAGCACACTAATCTGCGCTCCGTCACGGCGATGACCGAGATCTATTACGACCCTGACATTGAGTCGACTCAAATCGAGCAAGATGAGGACTTTATCAGCTCATATTTCTTGCTTCCTGATGACAGTCAGCCCCCTATTGATAGGCAGTCGCGATGGCTGCTTCGTTTCGTCTTGGATCGACAGAAGATGCTCGACAAGGGTCTCACCGTGGAAGATGTTGCCATCCGCCTCAGAGAGGAATATCCTACTGATCTAGCCGTTATCTGTAGTGACAATAACGCGGATCAGCAGGTGATTCGCATCCGCCCAATGCCGGAAGATAAAGATGATCCCGAGAAGAGCATCGAAGACGATGTGATGCTAAAGAGGCTAGGCGAACATCTTCTGGAGAACCTTACACTCCGTGGAATCAAGGGCATTGAGCGTGCTTTCTTGAACAAGGGG